CCTTCAACTGAAGGAAACAGTAATGCGACTTGAAAGAGAAAATGATGATTTGGCACATGAACTCGTAACCAGCAAGATTGAACTGAGGAAAAATTTGGACACCGTATGTTACTTATTCCGGTGTTTCTGTATAAAAGCTGATTTCTAACGTACAATTTCAATTATTCTCTCTTTCGTTTTCTCTGTCTAGACATACCTGGATTTCCTCAGCCTCATGAATTGAATCTTATTACAGGCAGAAGACAGTGTCGAAAGCTTACAGGGGCAGCTTGAGAGGTGCATGCGAACAGCAAAAGATCTTGAAGAAGAAAATAATGGATTACGGACTGAATACGATCAGGTTGGATTACGTTTTTATACGAAATTCAATACGGAATTGATTCAAAGTTATGAAAATGCGAGCTTTAGAGTCTGAGGAAGTGCTTTGTTTTAATTGTAATGTATTTCTTACTCTCTCTCGGTAGAATATCCCGTATCGAGCATAGGTAACTGTATCATTACATTCAAAGATGTTTCGAAGCATTTTTGGTGTGAAATGATTACATTAAAATAGATTAAATTTGAATAAAGTCATCAAGATATTTGACAGTTGTTTGCTCAAATTACAGGTGAAGGAGATGTGTAGAAGAGAAGTGTTACGGCTGGAATCAGAAGGATCACGATCGCAGAGTATTATTAGCAATTACAAAGAGATTTGTTCCGATTTGAGTTACCGACTCGAGAAGCAACAGGATAGTTTCAAGGCTCAAAAAACACGGATTGCTGTAAGTTGCTGCGAGAAGATATTTGGTGATTATTTTCATAGGAGGGATTTTTTTCAGGGAGTGGTTTCTCACTGTGAACAATGTTCAATTGTACTTGCTGAATTTACTGAACAGATGAATGGAAGCCCATCAAAAAAGGTACCTTATGTTTGCTTATCTTTGTTTATCTTTTCTTTTTGTATGATTGAATTCTGCTGGAAAAATTATTTCATGAATCTTTAACAGATTTTGTTGATAGAGCAATGAAATTGCCTATTTTCAGTTATCTTCGGTGGAGGATCGTTGTGGTTTCAAGATAATTGAATTGATGGATAAATTGGAAGAAAGTGAGCAACGTATTCGCCAGCTGGAACTCAATCTTGCTCAAACTAAGCTTGAGTTAGTTGAAGCACAGTGCAGAAACCAGGACTTGAGCCATCAGGTAATAAAATAACTGTTTTCGGCTGAAGCACATTTATATATAACAATTTTTTTTTTTTGAATAAAAGTGTTAGAGTGAGGTTTGATGCTATTCCAGTTAGTAGAATTCGAATTATCGCATTCTGACACTAATTCATTTAATACCTCAGTCATTGGTCGATATGAGTTCAGTAAGTAGGTGATAGATAATGAGGAACGGAATGTGATGACGTTGGTTCCGTTAGCAATCAGCATTGATATTTTTTGAAGATATACTTGGTCATATAATTAATTGAAAACAAAGACGCGAATTTGGATGGCGTAAAGTCTGAATCTTTAAACTTTACGTTTTGTTTCCATATCTTTCGCTAAAGAATAAGGGCGAGATGCGTGTGCAGCGTTTGTCATAATAATGGCGTTGTTCCTTATTTTACTTGCTACAAATGTTTGTTCGAGCTAAGCTATGACTAGTTTATGTAATTCTTTGTTCTTTTATTTTTTTCTAACTTTCGAAATCCAAGTGTTTGTTTTTTTCGTTCATGTTGATGATCGTTTGGTTCACACCATATTATTGCTATTTCGAGATTTGACTAATCTTGAAACGGAGTGAAATGTAAATTACGATAGTTTATTTTTCCAAAATTTGGTTTTAGAATTTCGAAGTTTTTGCTTTCTTCAGATGAATACGTCAGTCAGTAGCGATAATGATAGTAAGCATGCAGCATGGTTGAAAAAAACAATATCGTCAATTCGAGATGTTGGAACGTCACTGAAACAGCCTACCCATGAACGTAGTAGCAGTACTGTTTCTGTGGATAAGTATTAGTTTGTTTGTTTTTGTTCGTTTCACATGAGACATTTCACTTGGATAATCTCAAGATTTCAAGAAATTCATTTCAAAGCAAAAGATTTTGGTCATGTATGAAATCATTTCCTGTGAAGTCGGTGGCTTGGTTTTTGGATGTTTCATTTTAATGCCCTAGTTTGATCTCCCATGTTTGCTTTCAGGGCTAAAGTCATAATAATTTCGACTCTTCGTAAATTAGTAATTTATTAAAAAAATAAAAATGTATAGCACTAATTGTCATATTTATTAGAAGCAGGTGTATCCATGCAGTTGTGAATGGTTTATAAGTCACCTAGATAGCGATCTGAACAATTGTAAACTGTCGTAAAAAGAGCTGCAACCACTGAAATTAAAGAATGTTTATAATCAGTTGAGGATTATCCTTCGTTAATACACACTGTTATTAAAATGTACCATTTGTTTGTTTGTTATTTCGAAATTTAACAATTTATTCACTTTATTTTGCTACTTTTTATTGTTTGCTATTCTTTAGTTCAATAATGCTTGAATGTTTCCTGATATGATCATTGCTGTGCTCTTTCACTTTTTTAATGCTTTCTTTGCTAAGTTGATGCTATAATTTATGGCTAGGTTCAGTTATCATTTAATTAATGTAGTTTTAAATTCTACTCCTCCAGTTTTTTTTTTTTTTAATTTGTTTTTAATTTGCGAGACATTTGGAGGATTAAAATTAAGCAGTCGAAAGGACAGAGTTAGTAGTGGTTACAATCTCGTTTAGCATTGTGATATAACTTCCCAAGGATTGAAAAAAAACAAAAAATTTCTGTCTTTGTGATAAAATTTTTGTAACCACTTTTTGCACTAGATATGAGAACTAATCTGCTGAGTAAATAATTCTAGGTGAGGTTTTCAATTTCCAGGGAAAGCATAATAACTCCAATTCGAAATCAACCAACATCAATCTATGATGCTTAATTTGCGGAATGAATTCAATAATAACTACTGACTTAATGATTGTCTTAATTGCTAACGCTGTTAGCAATAAAAAAAATCGTTTTTAAGGCTTTAATATGTTTGAATTGATTATTTGGCATAGTCTCTTCAACATTGATTTTATTACAAAAAAACAAGAAAAAAAAATGACGGGAATCGTCTGTGTTATCTTGCTTGCATTCCACTTTTTCCTTTTTATTTGTTTGTAAATTTAAGAGAATTTTGAATGTTGTAGAATGTTTGCCGTTCAGGAAAGGTTGCTTTTTTTTTTCTGTTAGAATTTTCATAATTAATGATAAATTATCTGATTCTTTTCTCTTTTTTTTTTTTTTTTTTGACCAGCTACAAACAACAGTAATTTGACAGCATTTTAATCCGAAATTCACTATCGAATGTTGTTGCAATAGGATAATACTGTTGGACATGCGCTTATCTGATTGCATAGCTTGGGATAACATTCTGCTGTTTATTAAATCTTAATATTATCGATAAGTGGCATTCATTAGTTTATACTTTATAAGAGGCGAATGAAAAACATGGAAACATTTTTAAAAAATCAGAATTAACATGAGTAACCATTATCCCACCTCTCATATGTCATTGTCAAGTTCTATAATGTATGATTTTTCAAAATGATAACCTTTTAAAATCATGCAAATTTATCTTTCATGGGAATAATTCAAAGAACTGACTGATTGGCCGCTGATATAAGTCTTCCGATTGATACCTTTTACAAATAAATGGACGTTATTAATGCAATAATAGCCTTTGTTACCATCGAAATGTTCTTTATTTTCATCAATTTTTACACAATTAATATCTGATTTTTTGACGGTAGAATAAAACAGTTCTATGTTTACAAAACTATAACAGAATTAATGTCATATTTTAAACTTTTAATATCTCAAAAAGACGAGTGCATTATTTGCGATTGACCGATGCTAAACTAATACATCAACCAGACTGACAAGTTATTATCTGATTTAAATATATTTTGAAAGATTGAGTGATCACATTTTTATGGCAAAGTATTCATCAGGAAAAAGAAGTAATGAAGGATGATTTAATTAGATTAAAATGAAGTTGAAATTTTAAGCTATCCTTTTCAAATATGGGATATCAATAGAAAAAAAATTTTTCATTATTTCTTATTTGGAAGAGATAGTAAATTATTTTATGTATTTTGAGGTTGGAAAATTAAATTAATAATCAAAGAGGGAAGATGAAAGCAATGTTCATAAAATGAAAAAGATATGAAAAATTACTATGCAGAAGATTTCATATAAATGAGGGAGGTTCTACACTGGAGATTACAGAATTATCGAGTATTTATCGCGGAAGAGCTAATAATTATATTAATTGCAATATAATTTAGCTAAACAAAATTTTAATAGCAACTGGAGTACGAAGACAACAAAAAATAGTATTTGAAGAAGCAGATCGCGTAAAATGAGTCAAATTTAATGCTAGCAATTTTTGTTTAACAATTTAAAGAATTTTGTCTTAATTTAAATCTATGGCAAAAAGGGTGGAAAATATTAAATGGCAATGAGCGTTATCACATTTCTCGAGAAAAGTATGTTGCGAGGAACAAAGTCAATTCTTGATATCATTGTCGGAATTGTTAAAGAAAAAAGAAAAACTCTGATTTATGTAATATTTTGTTCAACAATAATATTCATTAATTATGCACATCTCTTTTAATAGCATAATGAATCGCCCATTATATTTAGATAAGATTAGTGCTAAAAAGTTGACAAATACCGCGAAATAAAGTCATTGTTTCCTTTTTTCTTCAAAACTAATTCCACATTTCGAGTTTTTGACACATAAAATAAATAGTTTTTGGCATAAATCAATGAAAGTATCACAACCAACGTATCATGACTGGCAAGATGTATTAATAGGAAAATAGGAAATGGTTATTAGAGATACAGAAACAAACTTTTGTTTGTCAGATATTATAGAGATGTTACAATGAAAGATAATCCGATTTGATGGAAGTACTGTTACTTTCATGAGCTATAATAATGAAGTTACTGACGGCTTGAGTGATCATAAAATAAAGGCAGAAGTGAACTTGGAAGATGGAATAATCCGGTGCCTGTAATATCACATTCCAGACGCATCATTGCCACCTGAAAAGGTGAATTACTCATTGTTAAACACTTTTTGTCCACTGTCAATGTTTTGTTAGCATCGAGAGTCGAACTAAAGTATATCTCGTAACCAACATCTAATCAATAGAGTTATTAATCCTAAAATATATATCCAAACCCTGAAATAAATGGTAAGAGTATTGCATATATAGTAAAATATTGCTCGATTTAAAATTAGAACAACTCATCAAGCACAAATGTTCAAATACCTATTGATATAGTTCACTACTACCTTAAAACATGGTCAAAAAAAAAAAACAACAGCTCTATTAGGCTTTTTGGGAAGACTCGATCAATGAAATGAAGAAATAAAGGCACTCCAAATCTCCATAAACTAGAAGATGATTACAGTTATGAATTGAGGTAATCAGTGCAACATTATATATAAATTTTGCAGGAATTTCATACTGAAAACAAACCTGATTTGGTAATGTACCATTGAATGATAGAGCAGGCAAAATGAGAGCCATACGTGGTTGCATAACACCATTTCGATCTGATGCTGGTAGCAAATAATAATTCTAAAAAAACTTTTAAAAAAACTTCGTTTCAAAACTTGTGATGTGCATCAATAGAAAGGTTATGAGAGATCAACTTCTGATTCAGACTTGTCTATTTCGCCATCAAAACTATTAAATGATTGATGAGGAATCGATCAATCGCTGATTAAGAAAGGTATGTATTAATTGTAATGAATTAAGAGAATGAAGCAGAAACCTTCATAGCAACAACATAAAGTGTGTCCTCGCGCTGCTTTAAATTTCGAGCAAGTTCCGCATACTGTGCCTCCACATCCAAAACCGAACGTGCATCTGTTTTACCTTGCAACCAGTTAGTTAAGAAATGTTCTGGACCCATAACATTATAATCTATCGTTTTACTGAAACATAACATATATTGTTCTCTGCGATTAAAATGAAAATACGTTTTGTCAAAAACAGTAAATGTGTGCTTGCAAAAGCGGAATAATTATTTCAAAAAATCATTACCAACTTAAGGCTTTACTGATGACTAATAATCAATTTAGGAAAAAAAGTCATTAGAAAAACCTACACTTGCGATTTGATTGCTGTATTTTCTGCACTGGAGCTGATCATATTGATATGTCGCCAAGTACGTTCACGTATTGCTTTCAAGCGTGCAGCTTCCATTTTATCATTTGCTGTCCTAATAATAATTCCAAGTCTTTTATAAAACCAATATATAAAAAAATTGGAAAGATTAGATCACTTAACTGCATCATCATTATTATTCAACATCATTCATGTTGGATGCGCCGATGAAATTTCAAGTGTTACTATGGTTGGATGAAAAGGGTTTACTAAAACAGTCATGCAACAGCGAATCCATAAAAATTCTAATTAAATGTACATTTCACTCCGGGATAAAATAGTAAACACATATTTGAAATTTGAAGGTTATTATTAATGCAAACCGCTGGTGACGATTTTTCCCATTTTTACGTTCGGCACCTTTTACAGATTTTATTGTTACATTAGAAGTTGTCAACCACCCGTGTATTGGAACACGAAATATATGTCGAATATGCATAAACTGCAAACATTCGTGCCGATTAATCCAAGCAAAGACGTCGTTATTCAATCTGCAACATACATTCCATTAAAGTAAAATTAAAATTCCGAGAAATGAAAAAAAAAAAGGGAAATTTACTAAGATTGAGGCAGCAACGTTTTATAAATATTATGGGTAACAAATCAATTAAAGGTGAGAAAATAACGAACAAAATCCGGATTTTGCAGACTACATGTAAAACATTATTCTAATTTTATCACTTTTCAAGAATTTTATATTCCACACAAGAAAAAGTTTCGTATAATAAATATAATTCCAGCGATGATGTTACTTCTTTATAACTACGTATATCAGCACTTTCGGGAGATTAAAGATAGTACCAGAGATATCTCCAACTTCTAGAAATGTTTCACATACGAGGATCGCTTGGGTTAAGCATACGGAACTCCGATAAAAGTGAGATGAAAAAGACCGACAAAGTCTTTATCTCAGTCATCGTTCACAGATTCAACGAATGTAGCTGAGTATCTACTGTACTGTGATAGAAGCCAAATTATCATTCATTAAATGCAAGGCAACCCAATGTTTAATTAGAGGAGAATACTAGTACTGGAGTAAATATGAAAGACAAGTATGATTAGTGTACCCTACTCTAAAATTGATTGCTTTACTTTCTTAGGTTTCGGAAAGTCTGACACTTTTCAGTTAAGATAAATTAAGAAAGACTATAACAAACTTCATCGCTTCAGTCTGATTTAAATCTTTCTTCTGCATGCTATCACAGTTTGCTGAATTGCTCAGGTTTGATTGAGATAAAGGATCGGGCTTCTTACTTGACTGTGGATTTTTGCTTGATTCCTAAAGAATGTTTAACAGTGAACATATATGAATAGACCTTCAAAATGATGGACTTTTCCAAAGTGATGAAGTATGAGTGATAAAAAGAGATTAAACAGAAAATTAAACCGCTAAAAACACTGGTACATAAAAAGACGACAGGATATTTGGAAATAAAAGAAAAAAAATAAATGAAAGCAGGTAAGTAACTCACTAGGCCACCATCATAATCCAAGGAAAGAAGAGTTCGACCAGTATTTACTTTATCTCGCGAGGAATACATATTTGATTTTGCAAGATTTAGTTCAACAAGATTTGCTGTATCAGGAATTGGATCCAAATTCCTAAAATCATTTAAATTCATTTCATCCAAAAAAAAAATTCAGACAGAATCGTATTCCTAAATTCTAATATTTACAGACAAACATCTATCAGAAAATAACTTAACTGGTATAGGTGCTGCTAAAAGACAACAACGAAACAAATCCGAAAAGACAAACAGCGCCAGCTAGCATGCTTAAACGACCACTGCTGTTTCGATTACTTAGTGCTTGATTTCAACATTTCATTCTAAAAATAAAATTTTATTGTTGGAAGGAATTCAAATAGAAAAAGACGCAAAATATCAATTAATTATTCAGAACCAATTAATCACTCAAAACCAAATTTCTACACAGATTCTCCAATAGGACGAGCTTAACTGTTTGATCTCTGTTTACCGTCCTAACGTTTCGTAACACCAAATTAAGAAATCTGTTTCAGGCTACACACATTAATTAATTCAGTTATCACGATTGGTATAAAAACTTTTTCGGATTCAAAAGTTACAATCATTTTTCAATTAGTAAGGCGTATTATTTCAAAGCTAAAAGTGATAACTGATAACTGATAACTTGATAACTGCTATCGGTCCTAACTTACACCGATCTATATAAGTAAACTTCATTAAATCTTCTGATAAATATATGTCTTTCAGCTAATTATTTTAAAAAAAAGGCTTTTCATAATTTACTGAGTTATATCTAATAAGCTTCTTAAGATTGAAAATTATATCGAACTGATACATATGGATTCTCGATGTGAGATGCAATTTGAGACATATTAAACATGTGTTTCCTGCTGTTTCCACTTATGACATTTGTTTGTAAGACACAACTGAAGATGATATATACCTCATTTCGCAAAGTTTCAACAGTTCGTTTCAAAATTTCGATTTCATTTTTCAATTTCTCGATAATGACATTTTTATTAGCCAAATTTCGTTTCATTTCATTGATTTCCTATAATAATTAGTGAACGGGAGAAAAGGAAAATTAAGGAGAAAAAGAAAAAAGGAAAATGTAATACATTATCGCCAAACTAACATTTTTTTTCCGAATCCGTGAAAGCTGTGCCGAATATCGGTTTCGGATCTTCCTGTCTTCTTTCTTACGATCGTAATCCTAAAAAAGTTTGCAGAATGCTAAGATGATTTTTTATTAATAAAAATTTTATACATAAAGTAATACTGATATTAAAATGGATAAATGGATAAGTGATAAAATTATGCAAAGATATAAAAGCATGCTATCTTCAAAAAGGCCTAAGAAACAACTTCATCTCAGCATCCGTGAAGAGCTTAAATAATAAACAAAAATATTTTATTGTGAAAAGTGTCAGCAACAAAACAATTCTCCCGCTTTACAATGTCGCATGTAAGTATTCAGAGATTAAATGAACTGAACTCTGCATAAATATTAAGTTATACCTAAGACCACAATAGCTACTAAAAAATGAACTCCACTTTGGTACTTCGTTCTGGCCCGATACAATGTGCGAGACCACTTGATAATGTATTGAAAAGTTAGTCACAGAAGCAAAGACAATAATACTTAGAAAACAGGAAGATTCTAAAAGATTATTTAGTCCATTTGAAAAATGGGAAAATATGTGTTAATTTAAAAAAAGGAAAAAAACGTACAATAAAACAATTTATTGAAGACAAACAAAGTTATGAAAAAGTTACCTTAACAGGAGTGCTTGGAAGTGTTGGTGCCAATGATGGTCCTTCACGTTTCGGTGACAGCATTCGTTGCTTATTTTGATTGACAGCTAATTGCGACTAAATTAAAATGCCCGAATCAATACCCTAATTTTCAAGAAAAAGAACAAAGTGATAAATATAGGGAAAGAGTATCAAGAAATGGATAGAGATGAAAGTCAGTCAAATCATATATGAAGCAATCCTCTAAATATCTGTTTGAAACTCACGTTGAGAGAGCTGACGTGGGTTGTTGCAGGCATGATGCAAATCATTGGTTGACTTGACGCACTTTTACTTTTTGTTATAATCTGAAAATTTCATATTAATAATGTTTAGTCATTTTTCAAATTTATTTAGCTATAATTCTTATGTAAATCCATCAATTAAATTAATGCTTCATGATTAAAAATAATCATAATGAGCTTCATTTCTAAATTCTAAATACATTTTAGGAAGCCTTTCTTATACTCAAAACAAGAAATAAGGTACAGAGCAAGAAAAAAAAGACATCATTATAAGAAATGGAACAAGCATAAGCTTAAAGCATAACCCATACGGAAAAGTTGTATGTATAATAGCTACACAATAAATTGCTTGTTACTGAAACAGTCTAAACATAATGAAAAATTATTCCTATCAAGAAAGTCAAGCTATAAACCTGTCGAACAGGAATTTGAACGGGAACAAGGCGACTTGGATTAGGCGCTACAGTGAATTTTGTTTCCAACTGATGTACTTGTGTTGCTTGGGCGCTATTTATGATTCGATCGCTATCAGCAGCACTCTGGTCCTTCAAAAATGTGTCATTTTTAATCATTTAATGAGAAGTAAATTACTTCCAATATCTTTAAGGAATTTAATTGGTGCTAGTAAGGTCCATTAAATAACTTAATATTGTCATTACCAGCTCTTTATAATTTTTGAGGAAAGGGATGATAGTCACCAAATTACTAGTTTAATGGGTTTATGTCCGTGAAAATCATCATCAGTTTACATAAGTATTCAATTACTTGGAAAATGCATACATCTGAGGTAGAGCATGTTGGCGAGTAATTTCCAGAATCACTGGTAGATGGTGAAGCATTATCATACAATATTTGATTCATAAAATCGTTTTCAAGCGTAACAGCATCAAATATCGACGAATCATACGTTGAAAATACTTCATTGTTGTCCTGTGGACTTAAATCAAGTCCAAAATTATCAATGATCTCCGAAAGCTGAAAATAATTATTATCAAATCAATAATGTACAAAGTTAGTATTGCTCTGAATTGTTGAAAAAGAAGGATAAAGTATTGATTTGTTACTTTAGAAATTCCAAATGACACTTGGACGTTCTCCTATCATCTATTAATCAAACAAAAATGAATTCAAATGTTAAGAACGTCAAGCAAGTTGATAACTATGAGCTAGCTAAACATTGCTATCATTAATTAAATGATAAAAAGAAACCTGATCTTTCGTTTGTTCAGTGGTACTGTTAAGATTGATCTCAGAATCATTTGGTGAAAGTAAATTTATCAAATGAAATTGATCAAAATTATTCTCCAGAAAGCAACAGCTATCATCAAAATCCATCATAAAAATTGGAAAAGAATTGTTTATGGAATAATTAGAAACATTAACAGAATAATTCTGAAATTAAAATAACAAACTGTAAAATAACAACTGTACATTTTATAAAATGGATAATTGCAATTCCATTTTCTATTCTACATTAGTAATACTTAGAAAGATATAAATCGAAATTGAAAATGCAAATGATAAAGAAAATCAATTAGGAAATGCAAAGAAATAATTTATTAATGATTAAGGAAAGTTGCAAAATATTCGCATATTGTAATGGTGAGAGAGAGAGAGAGAGAGAGTGAGAAGTAAAGAATAGATTAAATTATAAGATATGAAAGATTGAGAAAAATCATAAATACCCAGATTTTGCAATGGTAGCAGAGAATAAGAGAGAAATGATAAGGATAATTTGTAAGAAAGAATAATAGGCTTAAAGTGAAAACTGCTTGATGACATACAATTTCTTCACCAATCTTTTTTTTCAATCACTTAAAATCATTGGCTATTTGTCTCTCTACCTAACTAAGCGGGAGTTTCGAAAAAATTGATTCGAAATATCCCCTAACAATGTAATACATATCCTGGCTACGATTACACGTACACGTACGTTATCATGTCCTTTAGCTACGTGATCAAAATATTAAGACTAAGAATGAATACGTGAACTTATTT